TAGAAACAACGTATACATTTGGCAATCACTAATTATTAAAATTTTCTGATCAAATAATTTATCTCGCGCGAGATATAACATCATTTCGCGCAAGTCACGCGAAATCGCGGGTGTGATAATTTTGCGATCTCTTGCGCGATACACTCCCCTACCATAAATCAAATAATCACGAAGATTTAATCTTATTTGTTGATAATTGTAGCTACATATACAGTCTAACCTCCTATAGTCACGCCTTTAAAATATAAAAAAGTGATTATATAGAGATGTGACTATTATAGAAGATTTTCTATACAGTTACATTATTTTAAAAAATATAATTGGTGACTATATAAAAATTATAATTAAATCAATTTTCATAGTAATTATGTGGTAAATTATATAAAATCATGTGATTAACCAATCAGAATTGTAACACCCCAGATTTGACCGATTGACAGATACAGGATGTAGGTGAGATTTTCCAAATTCGGGGGTCGGTTAAAGCAGAGCGAGTTTTTTGATTGTCTATGAGTCACGTGACTCATGGGCAATCAACGAACAAATGGATAAACAACTACCCCAGTATTGTCACCAAAAAGTTGCAGTTACATGACAATTTTGTGGTGCAAACAAATCATATTTCAAGATCAGATGTAATATTGCACAATTAATAAAATTTAAAACAAATTTTCACTTTGTTAAAAATTACTTGTTTCTTGAAAAGCAATATAAGAAACTATCTTTAGTGCTCTAACAAAAAGTTTTCCTTGAGCAATTTTACTGTTAAAGCTTTTTTAACCTTAACCTTAGTATAGACCCTAATCCTAATCTGTAAGTTTTTATTATCATGGTAAAGCGTAGTGCTAATTAACTAAGCGAAGCGACGCTTTTACAATGTTACACAGTCCTCCCCAAAATACCAGACGGATAACCGCATGCTTGCACGTGGGTTTCCATTGCAGTTATTTTGGATGTTTAGAAAAAGCCGGAACAGGTCCTCGGATAAACTACATCCGGATAATTATCCGGATCTACACCTCCCATCCACCCTTTGGTGAGCGATTTTTAAACGTATCACACCCATTTCCCGAATCTATCCGATAGTAAAAAGTCGCGGAAAAATAGTTTATCTACCCGGATAAACTCAGATTTAATTAGTGAGCGACTTTTTGAAAGGGCGTGACGAATATTTTTTAAAAAATCATAGTAGATGTGATGCGAATTCAATTATTAAGCGATTTTTTAAACACTAATTAACAATTATTAAGCGATTTTTGAAAGGGCGTGACGAATAAACATCGGGTGTTATCGTATAATATGTTGTTTTATAGGTTAATGCATTTCGGACAAAAACTCGTCAAGATATCGAATTTTTTGTTAGACTCTTGTATAAAACCTTCATTTCGAAAAATGCCCAATATATAGCGATCCTTTATGGAAAACTCCACTATGCCACTCTCAAGACATGTAATAACAAAACTTTTAGCGTGAAGGTTCAGCTACTTGAATCTCAATTTTTACGAGAAACAGACACGAACTCGCGGAGATATCACGTTTTTTGTAAACGTGAACGAGTGATTTAGAAATCTACGTTTTCGTAAAAATTGCTATTTCAACTTCAATTGATCAGATGACATTTTCTCTAAATAAAACACACTTTACGTCTCTAATAAAAGTTATTCGGACGGTTTTCAAGAGCTAGGATTTCAATTTTCAGCTTAATTGCATGTATATTCGTCAAATCATCAATGTTTTTGTAATGAGAACTAATAACAAATTTTTTATTTTTGTTTGTAGGAACGTAGCGATCAATTTGATAACAACAGTAAAATGAAACATGTTGTATGATTCTAACAAAGGTTTTAGGGATGACATTCAAGAGTTCGCCTGTGAGATTTCAGATCAAACGGATGAAAACTTGTAGAGATATCGTATTTTTACATTTTAGTTCGGTTAGACGTTTTTACGTTTTTGATGAAAGTGATGAAAAATCACGGTACTATTGTGGAATTTTTACAAGTTCAGTCTAAAGATGCAACTGCGTGTTAACAAGACTTATGGCTAACATAACATACTTGAATTATGCCTGATGAAATTTGAAGAATTTTGAACAAAGATTCATAAAGTTATTACATTTTTTTTCATTCTTATTATCTATATTCATTAATCTAATATAATTAAAATTGCCGTTTCAACTTCAATCGATCAGATGACCGTTTTCTCTAAATGAAACACACTTTATGGTTATTTTGAGATAAAGCTCAATTTTCTGATTAAAATAAATCACCGAATGAGCAAGATTATATACTATATTTCTAACAAAAGCTGAATTTAGCTTTTGTTGTAATAAAGCATTTAGGTGTGATTAAACTTTGATCAGGCTCAAATGCTTTTTTTTCTTAACTTTACTATAACAAAAACTGAATTCAGCTTTTGTTATAATAAAGCATTTAGTAAGTAGTTACTAGTAATAGATCCATTAAGCATCTTCTGACGTACTGCCTCAATATCAGTATCAACAAACATCTTTAATTGATTGATAGCCATTTGTATTTTTATAATGGCTATATTATACTCAAGAAAATTTAATTGTTGTAAAATATAAGAATAAACTTTTCCAGAGTTAAACTCTAAAATTAATTTAGTTTTAAAATATACTTTATAACCAAAAATATCACAATTAGAAAATACAAAACTTGGAATACCCCTATTATACTCAAAATGAAACAACTCTTTTATTTCACGTTTACCCTCAAAACTATAGTCCGTTAAATCATTAATAAACTTAAAATTATTTAAAAAAGCTATTCTATAATCACCATCAATCCATAGTTCAACTACAATTAAAAAATTATCCAAATTATTTTTAAATAACAACAAATTATTTAAATTCATTTTGAAATGCAATAAATATATATTAAAAAATACATATCAAGGCTTTATATATAGAAATGGCCAATAATTACTACGTAATCATAATTATTAAGCTATACTTATTAACTAAATATTCGCATTCTCCTTATTGAGATGACGGCTTTCTTCATTTTGCTTTTCTATAATTTCTTGTTGTGTTAGAAATGATCGATCTTGACTACTAGCATACTCATTGGTCATTTCTATAACCTCTACAGGTTTTTGAACAAAATAATTATCATCAAGCATCATGTGAGAATTTGATATATTTACATCATCATGATCCAAATTGTTTATAAAATTTTCGATTTAACGCTTCAATCGCTTGTTAGGTTTTTTTTTTGCTGCAGTAGTGCTAGATTCGGCCATCGACTGTTGACGACTATAATCGGAATCATCATCAAAATACATTTCAGATTCGGATTCGGATATATGTTTTTGAGATCTTTTTCCTGGTGTAGTTGAAGATAAAACTAATTGTGATTGTTGTAAAAGCTTCTGTTTGTAGTGAGAAAGCTTATGACATTTGGGATAATCATGTAGATAGTTTTTCTTGAATTATGGAAAGTGGCGATGCCAGTACACCTGATCTAACTTAATAATTACTTCACTATCCTGATCTTTATTAAGCTCTTGAATAATAGTTCTCAACTCTTCACATGTATATTCGCCCTCATCATATTTAACGTCCCAAAGCATTTTGCAGAAATCTTCCTTTGAGCCTTTGTGAAATATGAGCTCAGTGGTGTGCTGATCTAGCTCGTCATGCCACATACCTCTAAACTTGATAATATAATCCAAGTGTCGGTAGAACTGTCCCCAATCACATTGAGTTGATGTCTCATCATTTATATTAACTCGACGAAAATTGAATACTTCTTCTGGTGGTTTGTGAAAAGTCATAAAGACATACTTGGCAAGAAAAGGTACAAATGTCTTGCCTTTTTGTTCAACATTCTCTGGAGTATTGTTTAAATATTTAACAACATCATTCCAATCAAGCACCGAATACCACTCATCAAAAAGAACAATTTCATGTTTATCGTAGCCATCCCACCAACTCGAACCTGATTTCTGCTTCTTAGGTTTAGAGTATAACTCGTTTAGAAAATAACTTTTGAACGAAATTAGATTTACTTGCACCACCATCACCATAAAAATAAAAAGTTACTGGCCGCCAGAAACATCTCATAGATTTATTTAAAATTTCTTTTTGGCGGTTATTAATATAATCTAAATCCTGGAATGATCGATAAAAATGTCGTGGCGAGTATACATGTGAAGAGTTGAGAACCATTATTCAAGAGCTTAATAAAGATCAGGATGGTGAAGTAATTATTAAGTCAGATCAGGTTTATTGGCGTCATCACTTTCCCGAATTCAAGAAAAACTATCTACGTGATTATCCCAAATGCTATAAACTTTCTTGTTATAAGCAGGAGCTTTTACAACAATCACAATTAGTTTTATCTTCAACTACATTGGAAAAAAGATCTCAAGAACATATATCCGAATCTGAAACTGAATCATATTTCGATGATGATTCCGATTACAGTCATCAACAGTTGATGGCCGAATCTAGCATTACAGCTGCTACAAGAAAAAAACCTAACAAGCGATTGAAACATCGAATCAAAAAATTTATAAACGATTCGAATCACGATGATGTAAATATATCAAATTCTCGTATGATACTTGACGATAATTATTTTGTTCAAAAACCTGTAGAGGTTATTGAAATGACCGATGAGTATCAAGGTCGATCATTTTTAACACAGCGAGAAATTATAGAAAAGCAAAATGAAGAAAGCCGTCGTCTCAATGAGGAGAATGCGAATATTTAGTAATTATTGGCCATTGTAGTTGAACTATGGATTGATGGTGATTATAGAATAGTTTTTTTAAATAATTTAAAGAATTATAGTTTTGAGGGTAAGCGTGAAATCAAAGATTTATTTTATTTTGACTAATAAGGAGTTTCCAAGTACATTCAAACGTTCGGCTCTGGCCAATTACATTGTGATTCATTTTTTCAAATTGTATAATTGAAATCATTTTTGTCAAGTCCAATATTAATTTTTATTATTAAACAGATAAATAAAATTCTAATCGGTTAAAAAAATGATTAGAAATAAATATGAACTAAATAATATTTTGAAATAATTTAAATATATAACAATAATTTTTGAAAGAAACATTGAAAAAAATAGAATACAAATTTGAAAAATAATTTTTTCAATAAAATTTTCAGAAATTAATTCATATTCGTATTTTGAATATTTTTTAAAAAAGACTATATATACAACTGCTTTACATATTATCTTCATTTTACAATTCTAAAATTTATCTAAATTATTTTTAAATAATAAAAAAATATTTATATTAAGACTTTATATAAAGGAAGATGTAAAATTTTTTTTAAATAAATTAGGTTTAACATTTTTTACTTCGACTTTATTGGAAAATTTTATGTTTTTTTTGAATCTTTTAATGCAAGAATTTGAATCCAATTCACTTTTTTGCACTCAGACGTTCGGCCTTGGCCAATCACATTGTGTCCTCATGAATCTTTTAATGCAAGAATTTGAATCCGAATCTGATTCACTTTTTTGCACTCAGATGTTCGGCCCTGGCCAATCACATCGGCCGCAGATTTTGACCAAAGTGGGTAATTCGATATTACCTAATTAGTGAAATGCTTTTGGTCGCAGAATGGCCCAAAGTGGGTAATTTGACATTATCCGATTTGTAAAAAATTTATTTTGATTTTGTAATCTAATTTAAGAAACTCCTGAAATATTGATCTTTTTGTCCAAATTATGAATTTTTCCATAGTATTAGATGAAATTTAAAAATATATAAATATACGTATGTTTATTCTTATTTAAACTAAAAATGCCTCCAATTAAATCTACCAAGCGAACTCTTCCAATACAAAATTTTGATTAATTTGGATTCAAGATTAAAACCGTTGCGCTAAGAAACAAGAAAAATGCTGCAAGACTTTTCTTTTTAAAATTAACGGATCCTGATAGTAGTAATGTTGGTACTGTAATACCTGAAAATATTACTATCAAAGATTTTTTTGATCAAATCGAAGAATGTAATCCATGGCCAAACACAAACGACTTCTTAATTCATTTTAATCATATTTATATAATCAAATATAAAGGTTTTAAAATTTATCAAATGAATTTTGCAAAAAATTTTTATTTATAGATTTCTAAAAAATGAATCCGTATTATTAACTAGTACTCATGATGAGATTGGAAAATTATATATAAAGACATTGAAACTCAAGAGCATGTAATAACTTATTTAATAAAATCAATTATTCTGTATTATTTTGGTAATGACAATTTATCAAGTATTTATTTTGTCGAAAATATCTTTTCTACACAAGGGATATTTAAAATTAATGGATTCAGAGTTTAACAATTATAAAATTTATTTTATTTTAATTGAGAGTTATAAAATATTACAAAGGTTTGCGATCATTATGAATAATAAATTTTTTTTCAGGATAGATACGATAAATATATTGATTATTGTAATAAACTTGATATCTACGTAAATGATCAATTAAAAATGAATTTGTTCCGGGGAAAGGAGGAACG